AGAGGAGTGTTCGTGGTGTTCTCGGGACCTAGGGTTTTTCACCCGTGGTCGAGATTTTTGTTTTTTTTGGTCGAGGTCCCGTCTCTCTCGTATATATAGTCGTACAGTGTCACGCCACGGAGGGGTGTCGCGCAGCGAGGACTTGATACGGAAGTGGTCATCGACCCTACCAAGCTCGAGCACGGGTCGACGCGGATGCGAGATAGTCGATGGGAGTTTTGTGTAAAGGAGCAGCGTGCATGGCTCTTGGAGGCTAGGCTGAATGGCGCGCAAGGGGGTGGACGTCGGGAGGTTGGCGCATGCGAGGGACTGCTATGGATAGGCTCTGGGCGATGGGGCACCGGGCAACACGCGCGGGGCGCTGGGCGAGAGCGAGGGCAGCGCTGGGGCACGGGGCATGCGCGATAAGCGCGAGATGGTCACGCAGGCGAAGGATATGATCGCATGCACACGAGCAAGGAGAGGCATGACAAAGATAAATAGCCTAATCCTCATAGGCATAGGCAAGGTATGAATCCTAGACCCCTCAGGACTAGGAAAAGCAGCTGAGTGCTGGAACACGCGCGAAAGATCGGTGACGGGGGTAATCCTCGAAAGTTCAGGCAACATAGCCGAGAGCATATTCCTAGTAAGAATAGGCAAAGTGGATGTAGGCTCGAAGCATGATCCTTCAAGGAATAGGAATGGCGCACGCATGGCGCGAGACCTTAATCCACAAGGCAAGAGGATAGGTGGGCGTAGGAGGCACGACCCTAGTCCTCGAGGACTAGGGCAACGCGCGGGCGGTTGGACCAAGGCGGCGGATAGGCGGCTAGGAGATGGAGTGGAGTGCAAGGCAAGACTACTTGGAGTGCAAGCCAAGGCATTAGATCCCCTAGCTATTTAGTTTCCTTATTGCATTATGACTCTTAATATTTTATTGCTTAATTAGTTCCCTAGGTAGATTAAGATTAGACATATTTTGTGCCTATATAAAGGCCCTTCCCCCATGTTATTTTTCATCATCAAATTTATCAATACAAATCCGAACTTTTTTGTTCATCTTCTTGTGTTTAGAATTCTTAGAGTTTTATCACAAAATCCTTGTGTCGAAAATGGCGTTCCACCGCATTGTTCGTCATAAGCTCGAGTTTGGCAAGGATTCACGTCCGAGTTGTCTCACCTATCGCGAGAAGATAAGGAGATCATCCTCCAAGTCGTCTGTACCGTCGCCGAGAAGGAGTCGTTCGCGCGCAAGTTCGAGGCAACGTACATCTGGGACACGCGATCTTCATCAGGACTGCTTATGTCGCGCCGCGGAGGTGCGTCGCGCCGCGGTGACTGTTGGTGTCATGCCGCGGCGCGTGTAAGCCTGGGAGTTTCTGTCCAGTTCGCGGCATGCGTCGCGCCGCGGCGCGCGTGCGGCGCCTGGCAGCTCGCCCTTCTTCGCTTCTTGGGCTCGTTTACGCTTGTTCGGGCTCGGAATTCGATTCCATTTTTTCCTTCGCGTCGCTAACAAACCCCTCTATTCAATGATTCTTGAATGACAAAATTATACTTGAAATACAATCCTACCAAAGCTCTTGATCATCACATCTAAAGGTGTGATTCGCGTGCGACTTCGCGCGACTTCACATTTTGGGCCCGTTTGGACTCATACGAACTCGAAATCGAGTTTCGGTTTTTTCAATGTGTAGCCAACGAACCCATCTACACAACCATGGTTGCCGAGCTAAATCTATTCTTCACAGGGCCTCCGACCTGCACACCAAAAAAAACAAGGAAAAACCAGAAAAACATACAGAAAACACAAAAAAGACAGAAACAACGAAAAACACACAA